GCCCGGAGAAGCGATTGGGCGACAGCTGAGTCGCCTGATCGCTTCTATTATAAAGCCGACAGTCGGCTTTACAATTGTAAACAGAGTGCCGGTGTCTTTAGCCGCCGGGAGTCTGTTTAAATGGGCCCGGTGCCAGTGACATACTATGGACGTCACTGGTCCTTAAGGGGTTAAGCCAAAGCATTTTTATTGTTTCCGATATGGTGGATAAGGATTAGAACTTACGCTTTAAAATAAATAATTGTCCAATTAGATTGTAATGTGTCTTGCCAAACTAATGAAATATAAACATTTGAAACTGCCTAGGGACTGTTAGCAGCACTTATTATTTTAGACTCTTTGTAAAAGAGGCCCATTGCCCCGTTTGTTGATATGCTATCTGATAACATTCAAACTGAATCTGCAGCCTCTTTCCAAAATCAGTCCAGGAAACTCTAATAACAAGATGACTAATACAAATATTTCTGACAGCCCCAATCATTCTAATTGTTCAAAACTGCTACGCCAACAGACTCACTTGTACCTAGGCTATATTTTAGCTAATTTATTAGTTCTTTATAAAGCACACGTTTGTAATATAATTGTCTTACCAAACTGTTAATGTTCCAAATTGAATGAGTAATAAAATGAGCAATTTTCCTGTTTGACACAATACAGGTTGATTTTTCTATTGTCTCAGTAGGCAGCACATTTCTCAATGGCTTTCACAATAAACAGTTGCCTGTGCATAATTATCAAACAGCACACAAAGCCCTTTTTGTTAGCTGATCAATATCATTTTCTACAGGGGTTCAGGAATGACTGTGTCCCAGCATGCAGGCACTTAATGTTCACTTTGGTAATTTGTTCTTAAGCACTAATCCATCCTATCTAACATTTTCAAATATCAAAAGCATGTTGCCTACTTGAAATAAATGGAAATTGTTTTTAGGACTATTTTTTCTGAATTATAACAGTGACATAACAGAATGTCTTCCTGATTTACCACTTACAAAATGTGTTTGTTATAGAATTACCCTCATATAATAAAATGTTAGCACTGAAGCTGGTCAATCATGTTACAGTGTGATTTCCTTCATTTATGTTCAATCTATGTTACATTTCCCAGCAAATATGTGGGGCAATGGCCTACCTAAACAATCTGTTCATTTTCTATCCAATCAGGTTATAATTGTTGGTAAACCTAAAGGAGATTATACAAAAATATTGTAATATGTATGGGCAACTTAACTTCATCCTCCAACTTTGCTAACCAGCATTTAGCATTTATATTTTGATTGTCATTTTCCAGAGTACACTTGATTCTGATTGATGGTGTTTGGAGTAAATAATGACAGCTAGAATCTACTGCTATCTGGTATTCGTTAGAGAGATTCTTCCTCACTTTCTGTCCCAGTAACAGTGTTGCCAGACAGGAAGTTAGAAGAAAATCTGCAACACAAAATTAAAAAATCCTTTTTTTTTTCACCTTTACTTACGCTTTAAAAGAAATACAGAGATTGCAATGTGTTTTGCCAAACTAATAGAAGTTTGGCAGGCACGTTTCTCAATGGCTTTCACAATAAAAGCCAATTGAACTATGGGCAATGTTATAAATTTATATGATTCAGTCTGTTAGTTGGAGCACTAGCACAGCAGTTTTTATTTTTCCGAGTCCCCTCATAACATAGTTTTATTATCTGTTGATCTTGCCAGTAAGCCTATTTTTTTCTCTTCCTTTAACATGCTGTTCATTCTGCAGTAAAATGCTGCAGCAGTGTTGTCAACTTAGTTTTAGATGGACTTTAAATAAGAGACAAGCAAATTAAAGCCTAACTCCAGTAAACACCTTTTAGGCAGCAACAGTTTTTTCTATCTCTTAAAAGACAGGTTTAAACGATAAGTGTATTTTTTTTTAAAAACTGAACTTATACTTTAGGCTGCTTTTAGGCGATATCACCATTCCCTCCCCTGCACAGATGCATACTTACCTTGTTCCGAAGGGCCCTGCCTTGTTAACATCAAGAGGCGGACATCTCCTGGCCACGCCTACACAGTACATCCACATTGACTTCTATGGGGCTTGTCTCCTAGCCGGGTGAGGGAAGTAGACGAGACCCAGACGTCAATAAGGATGTACTGTGCAGATGTGGCCAGGAGAAGAAGACGTCTGTCACAGGATGTAAACAATGAATGAAGGCCAAAATATTGGTAAATATTCATCTGTACAAGGAGAAGGACAGAGGGACATTACCCTAAGGGGGGCCTAATGGATAAATTCACTTTTTTTTTAAAGTGCACTTATCTTTTAAACTAAATAAATAGAAGCTGACCATTGTAATCACCATCAGCAGTTACATCGTTTGTCCTAACCTTTGTAATTGCCACTTTTGCTGGACAGCTTTACATGAAATATGGAGAATTATGTAAGCAAAGACAAGTAAAAAAAAGGAATGCATATGCTGAATATCTGAGTATCAGTACAGGTATTAGGCACATACAGTTACCAGACTACAGTATCTAAAATATAGTGTATGGCCAGCTTTACACAACACTATGCCTTAAAAAAGTGCAAAATAATAAAAACGGATGAAAGAAAAAATGGAGAAAAATGGATAAGAAATAAAGACATTTTCACATATATTGCCAGCTTTACAGTCTGTGAAGGACTAATGAAAATGTTTTTAATTTATACAGTCACTGTATTTTACCAGCAAATCCACTGACTAAATTAGCTTATATGTCAGTCTACACAAAAACAAAATCCTAATATAATAACAAATATAAAGTGTAGGCAACAAGTACCAGTGTTAACCTTCAAATCAATCTCTGTGTCTCTGATTACTACTCTCCATCCCTTAATATGCTTTCTCTACCATTGCTTCTCACAATTGTGTCTTCTTATCTTAAACTTTTTTTCCCTTTAACCCCCTTCTTCACCCCACAGATTATATATTTAATTTGCTCTGTCTGTAACAAGCTCACCGCTGTGCATGATCTTCTTATCTCCAATTTCTTTAACATGCTTGCTTTAACTGAAACTTGGATCCAGGAATCTGACTCTGCCTCCCCTGCTGCTCTCTCCCATAGTGGCCTCCACTAGACACACTCTCGTAGGAGTGGGAATCTTTCTATTCCTACAAAGCACTTTTCAAGTTCTGCCTTTACCTCCCTCTCTATCCCTCTCCTCTTTAGAAACCCACTGTATTCGCCTATTTTCTCCAGTTTGTCTGAGGACTGCTGTCATTTATTGGCCTTTTGGACCGGTATCTTCCTTTCTTAAAGACTTCTCTGTTTGGCTACCCTACTTTCTCTCCTCTGAAATACCCACTATCATTCTTGGTGACTTTAACATTGCTACTAACATTAACACCCCGACAACCACTCAACTTCTCTAACTAACCTTTTCTTTAGACCTAACACAATGGGAGCACACTCCCACTCACTCTGATGGCACCATACTAGATCTTGTGTTCTTTGCTTGTACACTTTGTACTTTCATTGTACACCAATAGCATAGCACACACATTAAATATTACATATTCAGTATTTTCAAAAAAGCTATTTGATGGGGAAAAAAAACAGCCAGTTGGACTTTTGTATTTATTATATAGTGATACTAGTATGCTGCCAGATGATATATTTATAGGAAGTCTGTGCTGGCAGATAAAGGTATGACAGAAGCCTTCAAATTTATTAGTGGTACACATCACCACCTCAACTGTCACTATAACAAGGTCTAACAGTCCGCCCTATACAATCAATTTGTAGCAGCCTTGTAATTCCACATCCTGGCTGTGTAAAGAGAGCCTGCATTCTTTTTTCTACATTATGACAAGCCAGAAGATGACAGTCATCTCTTTGGATTAGGTGGAATCCTGTGGGTTTATTTAAGGTGCACCACAAAGTGGTTTCTAACAACCATGGAAGGGGTGAGGGAAGACTAGCACATTAGTTTTCAGTACTCGGTACTTCAGTACTGCATCTTTAAATTTTTGGTAACATGAGTATACCTGCATTGCCATGCTGCGTTGAATGGCACCAATGCACTCGCTGCAAAGCACGGCAAGCACCACAGTGCACTGCGCTACAAAATTTGTAACACAAACTATGTTTAGGATGATTTGATGCACTGGCATCCCATTTATTTCAAGGGGCTGCCTTAACCTAACACACGTTAAAATGTGATATAACACGCATTTACACACTGCAAAAATATAAATAGGCCCTTAATGTTAATGTAAATG